ACCAGATTAGGGACAATTTATCTACGTGGACACTAAAAGTTAACACCGACTCGATGGCACATAATCAATCAAACCAAAATCTGATGAAAAACTATAGGCATTTGTTAAGTGTGGGCCTTTTATATCACGCTTTCTGGGAGTTAATTTGCCAAGCGTACTTCCATTGACTCAAAAACAGCAGGAAAATATGTCGATGGGCTGCCAGTTTTTTCAACAGAACCTTGAAAGGCACCATGTAAATAGGTTGAAAGCAAGTTTTGGGTTGCCCACCAGTGTCTTAAATTTTACCACAGCTTCTAGTGCAAGATTGAGAGCCTTAAATCAAGATGAAGTACTTGTACCTCAAAAGAACAGAACGGATTCAGGGAAGGGAACTAGGAGAACTATACAAATCCACTGAAATTTCTGCGGAATAAAAATATTTCAGAAAATTCCCTTATGCTCCATGCATAAACACAGACACACAACAACAGAACAGCAGACACACACACCCTGAGACACAACACTTTGATTACCCAGTAGAAAATAACCATGCCTTCTATGGCCATCAGTGGTCAAGGGATTAGAAAGAATTTCAAAGGCCCTAATTTGCAGGTTTATCCCTGCCTTGTATAGTGTAAAACTAGGTAGTCAGTGAGGGAGGAAATATCTGTTGTTTCTATGCCTTAATATAACTAAGCACCCCCCCCCATTGGGGTGGGGGTGGGGTATTCTGCCAAAAAAGCTGGTTATCAGAATCTTCTTCAATTCAACAAAACTTCAACGGGACTGATTTGGACAACGAATACATTTTTTGTCCAAATCAAATTGGTATGTTCGAACGGATGGTTCAAGTCAAACCAGAGATTTCAACTCTCTGACCATTCAGATCAATTAGACAATCTGGATCAGTTGGAGCTAGCTTCTGAACATAAATCCAACCAAACTGGTTTGCCCAAGCTTCCTAGGCTCATGCAGGAGTTAAAGCAGCAATCCCCCAGCCACGCAAGGAACGCCACAGTGATTGTCCAGTGTTAACTCACAGACCCAGCACTTCCTTCAAGTCCAAATGATAATTCTACATGCCCACTCACGTTGCTGCCCGAGACCAAGTCACAATTGACAAAATAGCTTTACTTTATTCTTAGAAGTTAACAGGATGGAACTAGAACAAAGACCAGTGAGGGCTTGAAAAAATGGTTGAAGTGCAGTTCAGACAGAAAAGCAGTGTGGCCTCAAGGATACAGATGGCTGAGAACGCTTTGATTTATTTGCTTGATCAACCGTAAAAGACAGAAAACAGTAAAGAATACTTTCTAACTCAGTGTTTCTCAACCTTGACAACTTTAAGAAGGGTGGACTTCAACTCCCAGAATTCCCCAGCCAGCATCTCAAAGTTGCCAAGGTTGAGAAACCCTGCTCTAGAGTGAAGGGTTTTTTTATATCTTGTAAATAAATAAATGAAAACATGAGTTGGGTCCATGCTTTGTTGTCCTGAGCTGCTGTTGAACTGTGGGCCTAGATGGGCTGAGAATGGAGTGAGTGCAACTTGGAGTGTAACTCCAACCTTACTATTCAAGCTACACCCCAGTAAAATGTGTTCTGGTTTTACTTAAAAGACATTCCCATTTTTGCTATAAAGAATAACTTACTATTGACTGTATCAAAACTCCCAGGGCTTCTGGCTGTAAGCAGGATGGAAAATTTCTGTTCTAAGATGGCTGACCCACACCATCAGCTTTTTTCTTTTTAAAAAGATGGGCCCCCACCGGTGGAACAGAATTTCAAAACCGAATACTGTTGCTGTGGCCACTGCTGTTCTATTTGGGAGGGCTTCTAACTGAAATATTTACATTCAGCTGCCCAGTGGGGCAGAGAAGAATTTCCCCCTCGGGTGATTTTGAAAACCTGCAAATCCAGAGTGTTGGCTGGGGAGATGGCAAAGTTTTCCCTAACCATCTGGGAGCCGAGCTTTTGGCATGGCTGCAGCAGGGGGGTGGGTGAAAATCCCAAATGCACCACCCAGAGTTTGCAAGGAGAGGCAGAAGCAGCAGGCGTGGCCCTCAGCCAGCCAGCCAGCCAGCCAGCCAAACAATGTGCCCTCCTGATTTGGGGATTCTGACTTGGCAGTCCCAATTTCCCCCTTCCATGGCTATGAGTCATTATTGGTAGCGAATTCATTCACCTTCATATGTGAGCAGAGAAGAACACTGTGTGTGTGCATAAAACAGTGTTTCATCATTGGCTCCCCATGGATCAGCCACCACTCCACTGAAAGATGGGGACCATCACTTTTTAGATATAGAGTTACAGAGATGTAGGTAGGTAGGTAGGTAGGTAGATGATTGACAGACAGACTAGGTAGGTAGATGATTGACAGACAGACAGACAGACAGATGAGACCCAATTTGATGTAGTGGTGAAGGCCTCAGGCTAGAAACTGGGAGACCATGAGTTCTAGTCCCATCTTAGGCACAAAGCCAGCTGGGTGACCTTGGGCCAGTCCCGCTCTCTCAGCCCTAGGAAGCAGGCAATGGCAAACCACTTCTGAATAACCTTGCCAAGAAAACTGCAGGGACTAGTCCATGCATTGTTCAAGAATCAGACACAACTGAATGGATTAAAAAAAAAAAAGATAGATACACATACGCATATATATAATTTTTATTAAAGAAGTTATTCCACAGAGTAAAAACAATACAAATTTTGACTTAAAGATAAGAGAAATGGAGAAAAGTAATAGAAAAGTGAAAAAGAAATATAGAAAAAGAAGTAGAAAAGAAGGAAAAAGCAAAAAAGAAAGAATAAAGAAAAGTGGCTTCTGGTCTTCTTAACAGCAGTTGTAAGTACATTTATATTTCACCCCCTCTCTCTCTAAGATTACATCGAAGTTTCCTTCTTTCCATAATCTACCCTTTCTAATCATCAAATCCATAAATCATCAGTTCATTTTTTTCTTTTTTCAGCAAAAAGTCTC